TAATAGAGGTGAACCTGTCATCCGCTTTCTTGGCTACGTGTGACATGTGGAGGCAACAGGTAAAGGACAGCCAAGAACACGTGCCCCTGGATGACACCATCACTCCCGGAGCCTGATGACACGAGAGAATCCCCATGCCCTGTCAGAAAGTGCTGGAGGGGGAATTTCGTTAAACTATTAGCTCAAGACATGCTGGTGAGTTTTCTTGGATTTACCCTGTGGGTTAGCCTGTTATCCCTCTCCACAAAGCTGGAGACCGGGAGCATGCTGTTCTGAGTGTATATGGCTGTCAGTTCAATCAGGGCTCCAGGTAAGCGTGCCCTGTAACTCCAGCTGCGAAGAGATCTTACCAGATAAAAGCGGTCTTTTAAGTCTTAAAAGGGACACTCGACATCTCAAAGAAACCAAAGTTCTGGGTGAATAAACTATACTTTTTTATACCTGCAGAAAATGCTCTTAGTAATTTCTTCGCCTGGACGTGGCTTGCCAGACATCTTAGGCAAATGAGTTCCCTTGTAAAGGCTCCACTCCACTGTAGGTATTGACATCACCAAATACCACTTCAAATTTGGAAGGCCAAGAGGACTCATCTTTTTTGTGTGAAGTTTCAAAAGGACCACCTCCCAGATAAAAAAAAAATCTATCTATTTCTATATATATGTATATCTATATATATACACATAGATCTATCTATCTATCTATCTCTATATATATATGTCCACTCCCAACTCCCACAAATACATTTGAAACTGCTTTGGAAATTGGTCTCCTGTTTGAGACTGAATGTTGAAATTTTTGACTTTGGGATCAGGCACTCAATTGGAGAGGGAAGCGATTCTGAACTGAGATAAAATCAACCAGGTAGTTTTGAGGAACCGCTGGCTAAGGCTTCAACCCAACATCTGGTGCCCATTTATCCAGCCTGTTGCGATACCGACTCATGGACGCCTAGCTGGCCCGCCTCGGGCTGAGACGCCAGCCGTGCCAATCCAGTGCCTGAAGGAGTGGTGGTGTGTGAAGTTCTGGGCTTCTCTCTGTCTGCAAAGCAGAACCACGCCATGGGTCACCTCCACTGACTACTGGGTTCTGTGAGGTTCTCCATGTAATTCCACATAAAGTCAGCCATTCCAACAGAGCCCTGTCAAACCTTCAGGAGGAGGGCTCACGAGCATTCTTGAGCAAATGCCCAGAACAGCAAAGACCTCCAGTGACTGGGGAGGGGAGTGGGGGAGTGTAGTAGGAACAATGGAGGCTCTGGAATTTCTTTGCCAGATTTCATTGCATGATTCTTATTTTTCAAATTTTGCTGAGGACCAGCAAAGACCTCATCCCAAGAACTAGCATGTGAGAACCATCCAGAGCAGAACACACCAGCAGCAACCTTCACTCCACCTTTCAACAAGCCCGGGTGATACATGCAGTTGTGTCCGAGAGGACAGGAGGTGGACAGAGCAGATGTTAAAATGCCCTTCTTTTATAAAATGATATTGATAGGAGCTAGGATTTGCTCGGTCTTTTGAATACTTTCACTGCTATTACACTATTTTAATCACTTTAAAATAGTTTTAAACGAACTTTAATTCTAAATTCAACTTTAAATATTAAAACACTATTTATAAAAATGTATTTATAGTTGTATTTAACAACTATTTATAAATATTTTAAATTATACGCCATACTGTGTACTTGAAAACATCTTCAAACAAAGCTCAGCACAGGTTGACTCTTTGTGGCATCCTTATGGGAAGTGGGACTGAAAAGGCAAACCCTCTTCTGGATGGGGGAGTAACGTCTTTTTGTTTTTATTTTATATATTTTTTTGTTTTTTTTATTTATTTCTAGGAGAGAGAGAGAGAGAGCGTGAGCAGGGGAGGGTCAGAGAAAGAGGGAGTCACAGACTGAAACAGGCTCCAGGCTCTGAGCTGGCAGTCAGCACGGAGCCCAAACACAGGGCTCGAACCCACGAACCGAGAGCTCATGACCTGAGCGAAAGTCGGACGCTTAACCGACTAAGCCATCCAGGCGCCCCAGGGGAGGAGTAACGTCTTAATGAAGTAGTCCAAGTGCAGCTTCTGCCTCCAGACCAGCACTCTGACAGGAGAAAGGACAAGAAGCCAATTTGCCAAGCCTTGAGTGTACCATTTAAGGGCGCAGGTCTCCCTCTGCTGGCAGCAGGTGGTGGCAAAATGAGTCTTGAACTACAACTGGTACCAGGGCTCCAATTGGAAAGGATTCTACTGGGGAGCACCTGGGTGGCTCAGTTGGTTCATGGGTTCATGATCTCACGGTTCATGAGTTCGAGCCCCACGTTGGGCTCTGTGCTGACAGCTAGCTCAGAGCCTGGAGCCTGTCTCGGATTCTGTGTTTCCCTCTCTCTCTGACCCTCCCTCAGCTCACGCTCTCTCTCTCTCTCTCTTTCTCTCAGAAATAAACAAAAACACTTAAAAATTTTTTAAAAAGGAAAGGATTCTACTGCAAGAAGAAATTGTGCTTTGAAACCCACTCACGTTTAGGCTCATCTGTCAGCAAAAATTAAAGAACTCATGGCACCAGGAAACTATCAACAAAGATGCTATAAACCCTGGTGAATTAACAAAGCCAGGACATTATTTTACATTTGTTTGGCTATGTAAAAATATTGCCCACTTTCACGAACTGCTTCTTTTGTATCACTAATTATATAGAATAATACTCAGAAAAAATCAAGCCTGTCATGGGGCACCTGGGTGGCTCAGTCGTTAAACGTCCGACTTCAGCTCAGGTCATGATCTCATGGTTCGTGGGTTGGAGCCCCATGTTGGGCTCTGTGCTGACAGCCAGCTCAGATCTTGGAGCCTGCTTCTGATTCTGTGTGTCCCTCTCTCTCTGACCCTCCCCTGCTCATGCTGTCTCTCTCTCTCAAAAAAAAAATTAATTAAAAAACATTTTTAAAAAATCAAGCCTGTCAGTAAAATGATCTAATTCATTTGGTTCCATTAGAAAACGTGTCTTTGAAGTTCAAGGCATCGATACACCTAAGCTCATACGATAGCTAAAATCAGGACAGTCTGGTTTACTTGCACCTTTGGAGGACAAAAATAATCCTCATGCTTTGGCTTATTTCATTTATTCTCTTTTGCCTGGTATGCATTATGCCTTTATCTACTTCAATTATTGTAAATCCAACTTTTATCTGTCCTTTTTTAAAAAAATTTTAAACTTTTCTTTTAATATTTATTTTTGAGAGACAAAATGCAAACAGGAGAGGGGCAGAGAGAGATAAGGAGACAGAAACTGAAGCAGGCTCGACGTGGGGCTCAAACACACAAACTGTGAGAGCCACCCCTTAAGCGACTGAGCCACCCAGGCGCCCCTCATCTCTCTTTCTTAAAGCTCTACCTCCTGCTCTCTTCCTTCTCCAACAGCAAACAAAACGCTGAAGATTATTTTTTTCTTCCCTTGATTTTATTAATTAGATTTTGCTCAGAATCCTCTGGCATTTATCACATTCTCCTATAATTAGAGCATATCTTCCCCATATCAGAGTCTAAGCTATCTGAAGACAAAGGCCGTTTTATTCCGCCACGAAAGCAGCAATAGGGCTAATGGTTAAGATCTCGGATTTAGTAGTTTGTGTCATCACGAGCATAAACCTCAGTGCCCTCATCTATCAACTGCAAATGATACTAGCCCCGACCTCATACATTTGCAAAATGCATCATAAGAGAATGCATGTAACACTGCCTGGCTCTTAATTACTTGATAATTGTTAACTATTGTTTTCGCTCCTTCCATTCCCTAAACAAAAGCTTTATATGCCGTAGGCATTCAATTATTATTTGTTGGCAGGGCTTATGCTAATCGATACATTCATATGTAATAACGCATTAGCATTAACGGTGCCTAGAGGACTAACGTGATTAACCATGACCTAGCAGCGCTTACAAAGGCTTGGATTAGCCACACAGGGCGACTTCCCTGTCCCGTGATCTACATCAGTGCCTTCGAATACAACTTTCTGTGACTCTGGCAATGTGGTATTATCGCGCTGTCCTGTAAGGCCACAAGTCTAAACGTCTAAACCAAACTGACTCCATGACAGGCTTTAAGTTTCCCCTCTAAACTAGAAGGCCTGAGTTTCGGCTTCCCCCAAAACTATCAGGTAGTCACACGTTGCCCAAGGCAGGAGTAACCACCCTTGCAACACCCAATCAGGAAAGGCCTGCGACCACCCTCCACATTGTTAAGGGAGAGGCCTGGAGACAGAAACTATAGATAGGACCCTGTTACCCAATGTTAAAGTTAACCTGTTAGTCGCCGAACAAGACCCTAGGCTCGCTCTGTGATTGGTTGAATTTAAAGGTACTCTAAGTGTTGTAATTGGATCCCGCCAAAAGTAACGAATACTCTAGACAATGTGTATGGTCAAACCCGCTGTCAATGATGTTGAATAAGTATGATTGGATCACTGTTCCCATGTCACAACTTCTGTAACTCCCCCTTCTCAAACCCCATAAAAACCCTACTCTGCTCTTGTTCGCGGCTCTCAGCACGGACCCATACGCTGGGGAAGTCTGTGAGCCCGAGCTTAAGCCCGTAATAAAGCCCTTTGCCTTTGCATGCGTGACTCGGTCTCCCTGGTGGTCTCTGGTCGGTGAGGATGCTGCGATCTGGGTATAACAATCCCACAAGGTGGCCATTCGTTACATGACGGTTTGATTGTGGTTAGTGCAACTGACAAAGTGAAGTTTTTTTAATTAGTTCAATACCTCCTAGTCATCAGTGGCTACCCTATTGGACAGGGCAGCTCTAGAACTTGCCTCCATCTGTCTCTTTAAATTCCCCTGAGAAGGAAATTTTTTCTTTCTTCCTTTTGAGAACGAGTTATTTCTAATCCAATTAGCAACCCTCACTGATCTGTCGCTAGAGAACCGATCCCAATCCATTTTTTTCTTTAGGTGTTAACACGTGTGCTCCTTGTGACTCTGCAGAAAGCTGGCAGGACAGACTGTATCCAAATACAACCCAGCAGCTCAGCCAGTGGCACCAGACAAAGGGTATCATACATCAAATGACATGAAACCACCCAAGAAATACCGACTGCGTCCCTGCCTCATGGAGAACCTTCTCTAGAGGTGACGGGAATGCAGGCAGGCGTGGCAAAAACGTGAGCAGCGCGCGTGGCTCTCAGACACGCCTCCGCCAGGCCCAGATGGCGGCTTGGGCGCCAGCCCCCCCGCCCCCACGCCGGACGCCTCACGTGCACGTCAGCCGGCTTGTCCCGGTCCCCAACCCTAAGGGTCTCCCGGCGTACACACCAAGAGAGCCAGTTCCCCCTGGCCAAGCTCCACCGCTCCTACGGGAGAATCACGCCACCTGCCGTCTGCTAGAAGCCTGCCCACCCGCCGCTCCTCCAAAGCCCGCCTCAAAGCCGTGCCCCCCACGGCTCCTCGTTCAAGGTCCCCTGTACAAGATGGCGGCGAACCCGCGGAATCAACCATAGAGACGCCCGCCTTCCGCGGAGAGCGCGCAGGCCTCTGAGGGACGTCCGCGGCCCTCCGAGCGGGGTGCGGGCCTCGCTTTCCGGCGGAGGGCCCTTCTAGGAGTATCGCCGGCAGTCTCCATGGTGTCGGGTCCTCCGAGCCGAGTCACGTGGCTGGAGAACTCCGCCGAGGAGGCGCGCGGGGAGGAGAAATGGGCGGGAGGTGGAGGGGTAGCTTGAGACTGGGCGACGACGGGGTTGTCATGGAGCCGCGGGGCCGGGCTCGCGCATGCGCCACCTGACCCGCGGGTCCGGTCGTGGAGAGGCGACCTCGGCCCTAGGTGAGAGAGGAAGGGCTGGGCCCGGGGGCAGAGGGTTTGCACGGGGAGCGTGGGGAAAGGAGGCCGGAGTAGGGGAGAGAAGGGAAGCGATGTAGGTAGGCGACAGAGAGCACCCGGACTTTCAGGGGACGGAGGGTCAAATGGTGGGAGCAGGAGGCGGTGCGGCTGCTCCCCTTCTAGTTGCTTTTGCTGCGAGGGGCGAGGCTTCGTGGGAGAGGGGATCGCGGGTGACTGGGGGCTGTGTGTGGGGAGAGGGTTTGTGTGGGTAGCGAGTTGGGTACACAGTCAGGAAGGGTGCGCCCCCCTCTAACCCCGCTGAGAGTCCGGGCAGCGGCGGCAAGCTTGCAGGCCTGCAGGGCTCTGAGCAGAGGGGCAGGGAATGGGCAGGTGAGTGGGCGCGGGGCTGGTAACCCGGTGAGGGTCCTGGGCCTCCAGTTTGGGGGTGGACATGGTGCCCCGTCCTGGGCCCGGGACGCAGGTGTGCTGTCACCCACTTGGCCGGTTATTTCCCCTGGGTGGCCACCTTACCAGGTATGGTGCCAGGGGGTGGGGAGGCGGCGGAGAAGGTGGGTAGTGCCAAGTAAGAAGTTAGTGGGTGGGTTTCGGGGAGCTCTGATCCGGGCCCAGGGCACAGGCGGCAGCCAGGCTCTCTGTTATTACCCAAGTCCTGGCAGTATGCATTGCTTGGGCGTTTGCCCTGGGAACCTGGTGGTATGCCAGTCCCAGCACAGTCCTAGGGTCTGCCCAGTTCTGCCCTGCTGAGCTGGCAGGCTGGTGGATGCCTGGAGGGTGCTCCTGCTGTCTGGCACAGATGCAGCGTGGGCTGGTGCGAATGGGGAGGTGGGCACTGTTACTGTGAACCCTTCTGCAAGCAGGGGATTTGGAGAAATTCTCTAATCTCATCTCCTCTTTGAAAGAGGAGATGGAGCGAGCCATGTCTGGTCCCAAACAGAGGATGGTGTATGGAATTGGGGTTCAGGATCTTTGATAGAAATTTCCAGCCAAGTTGGAGAATGGAAACGGATGCCAAGGGGAAAAAATAAATATTCGAGATTTAGGTAGATAGGTCCTCTCCCACCTCCCCCATTAAAACACATAGACATTTCCCCAGAATGGCATCTCCCACATGGAGACCAAGAGAAAACAAACTTCAGAAGAAAAGCTAGTCATGTATTTATAATTCTAACTGGGATCACTCAGGATTTTGGGGGTGGTAAGGTCCTCATTTTCTATGGCCTGGGCCTGTTTTGTATTTAAGCCTCTGCTTGGGCTTTCACCTCACACCTCTGCCCGTGCACGCATGCTGTACACGTGACACATTTTAAAGGGAACTTGAGCTCTTGGGAAAGTTGCCAAGTGTCTATAAAAGGAAAGATCTGAGAGCAGCATTTCAGATCCTTTCCTTGTAAACGTTGGGTCTCCTTTTTATCATAAGCCTAAATATCTATGAAGATTGTTTGTGGATGAGACAGCCTTTTAATTTGGTTGGTGGATTTATCCCTGAGGCTTCACCTTAGACTAAGGGATAGATGTCATACCTGGAAGTTAGGTCTTGAGGTGACCACGGTGTTTGGAGACGCACAGTCTTGACCTTCAAGCTGTTCAGGTGTTTCAGTGACAGCTAAGCTGCTAGGCTGTCAGCGAGACTCAGCAAGACGGAAGATTTGTTGGAATGTATTATTCTGTTGAGTACCTCGCACATTAATGGGGGGTGCTGAAGTTGCAAAGATGGAAAACACAACTCTTGAGGTTAAGGAGACAAATAACTTGACTCTAATGTAAGAAGGGTAAAAATAGAAGAGCCAAGTGCTAAAGAGCATTTGTTAGAGTTTTATCTTATACCTATTTATGTCAACTTCTATATTTATTGATTCACTTTCTGTTGTGAGTTTTATGTTCACTATTCTGTCTGGGAACTATTTGGACAACGTGTTTCATACGCACTTAGAAAAGGCCCGATTAGGGTTGATTCTGACAGTCTGGGGAACTTGAGTTGGAGTCCTTTCGGTGCTGAGTCAGGCATGTGAGGATCTCGGATGTTTGTAAAGCAGTGTTGGTGGTTTCCAGTCTGTGCCAGGAAGCAGGGGATGGCATGGTGGGGAAGGGCTAAGTAACCCATTTTCGACTGCTAGTCAGCTTATGAGCATCTAACTTTATTGTAAAATAATATTGAGGAAAAAGAATCTTGAGGTTTTCAGACTGTCATTTGGGTGGCCCCGGGTTCGAGAAGAGTGCTAGAAAATGCCATCACTTTCTGTGCTTCCCTCCTGCCGAGGGTCTCGAGGGTCTCATGCTGCCGTGTATGAGAGGGCCTGGCTAATTGATGTCCCTAGCACCACTCAAAGGAAGGAAGTACCTCTCAGAGAAGAAAGGTCAAGGTGGGATGATGTAACCTTTCACTATCCATCCCTCTTGAACTTTCCTAAGACCCTAAGGTTTTCTGTTGCTTAAAAAGAACTTATGTCAGAGGCTTTCATACTTTTACTTTTACATCCAAAGTAGTCGATTTGCTATTCTTTTTGTTTCTTAAAGTTTATTTATTTTGAGAGAGAGAGAAAAAGAGCAAAGTACACGCGTGTGCACAAGCTGGAGAAGGGTAGAGAGAAGGACAGGGAGAGAGAGAAACCCAAACAGGCTTCACACTGTCAGCACTGAGCCCATCTCAGGGCTCAGTCTCACAGACCATGAGATCATGACCTAAGCTGAGATGAAGAGTTGGATGCTTAACCAACTGAGCTACCCAGGTGCCCCTCAATGTGCTATTCTCAAATGGATTATGCATTCTGTATTTCCAACTGCCACCCATTCTCTAAGACTTAATATTTTTGCATCTGTTCTCCTTTTAACCTATTCGACATTTGTGTTTTGATTCCACAATAAGTATTGTCCTGCACATTCCCAATGAGCCAGAGAATTCCTATGTATCTTATTTTTAATGTTTATTTTTGAGAGAGAGAGAGTGACCATGATCAGGGGAGGGGCAGAGAGAGAGACACACACACAGAATCCAAAGCAGGCTCCAGTCTCTGAGCTGTTAGCACAGAGCCTGACACGGGGCTCAAACTAAGGAACTGGGAGATCATGACCTGAACTGAAGTCAGACACTTAACCGACTGAGCCACCCAGGGGTCCCTCCTGTGTATCTACTATAGCTCTATTGACTACACTTTAATAATAGTAGCAAGACCTTTTTCATTGTCAAAAGAATTGTAGACTAAATTGGGATGCTTTATCTAAAATACTTGGGGGTCCCTGGGTGCCCCACTCAGTTGGGCGTCCATTTCTTGATTTTGGCTCAGTCATGGTCTGCTGGTCGTAGGACCAGGCCCGGAGTTGGGCTCGGCGCTGGGCGTGGAACCTGTTTGGGATTCTCTCCCTCCCTCTCTCTGCTCCTACCCAGCTCTCGTGCACCCTGTAATAATAAATAAGTAATAAGTCAGACCTGAATAAGTCTGATTGCCCATCCACAAGCTGTATCCACTTCCCTTTTGAAGAAGCTTCCTATTCACTTTTGGATGGTGTTATTTCAGGGAAATGAAACTATACACACTTGGTGGGTTCTGTACAAAAGGATCCTGATTTAATTAGAAATACAGTTTTACATTTTGGTTTACTTTTTTAACTGGATTATTCATGCAGTCAAACTTCATAGCCACCTAATAGGGACATTGTTTTGCAAGATAGTGCTATGCAAGATGGGCGGAGGCCATTGTTTATCTTTTATGAGCATAGGGCTTAATTTGGGACCTGTGTAAGAGTGCTTAGTTTGACATGAATTGAATGGGGAAGCCAGTCCCCTTACGTGAGTTAGCCACGGTACAAAATAATTTTTACTTGGAGTTGTGTTTAAAATTCAGCCTCATTCGGGGGCACCTGGGTGGCTCAGTTGATTAAGTGTCCGACTCTTCACTTGTACTTAGCCAAAAGGCCAAGAAGTGATTAAGCGTCCGACTCTTGATTTTGGTTCAGGTCATGATCTCACGGTTCATGAGATCTAGCCCTTCATTGGGCTCTGAGCTGACAGCATAGAGCTTGCTTGGGATTCTCTCTTTCTCCTCTACCCCCAATAAATACATAAACTTAAAAAATTTTTTTTTAAAAATAAAATTCAGTCTCATTCAGATGGGTTCTCTTGGGTCCACTTCTATATGTAAAAATATGAGCAAGAGGGTTGCTCAAGGATGCTTGTAAATGTCTTCATTTTTAACTTTATCCTGAATCTCTGCTCTGCTTCTGGAGCTGTTGGTGTTCTTCACTAGATCGTCTGTTAGAGAAACGTTCAGGCCTGATATTTCAGGGTATTCCAGAGACAGTGCCCTTTGGCAGAGAGCCTGTGTTTCTCTCCACTCTGAAGGGCAAATGGACTGTGAATTAAAACACCATCATCATTGTTTCCATCTCCTATCGCTGTCCATTCATGCTGCTGTAACAAAAAACCACAGACTGGATAGCTTTTAAACAACAAAGACGTATTTCTCACAGTTCTAGAGGCTGAAAGTCCAAGATCAGGGTGCCGGCACAGTCAGGTGAGGGCCCTCTTCTGGGTCACAGGCTGTTTCACTGTCCTCATGGCATGGAAGGGGAAAGGGATCTCTCTGGAGTCTTCCTTTAGAATCCCATTCTTGAGGGCTCCACCTTCATGACATCACCTCCCAAAGGCCCCGCCTCCTAAAACCATTTTCTTTGGGGGTCAGAACTGCAACATATGAATTCTGGGGGGACACAAACATTCCGACCAAAGCACCTGCCCAGTTTTCATTGTTACTGTCGTTTTCCCTGTTCTCTTTATCCCTGCAATATCCTCTCTGTTCCTCGCATGCCGTCCTTACCCCTGCCATTCGGTGGGGGCTCAGATGGCCTTGTTAAAATATCTGGAATGTTCCCAGCCTCTGCCAGCCCTTTGAGGGCCCATTTGTCTTCATTCCTCGCACTGTTAGCTAAGTTCTAGATCTGATGTCGACCAGTTGCCTGGTGGGGCAAGTGTAGGTTTCTTCAGCTTCTCTGGGCTCTGGACCTGTGCACGTGACAGCCTAGCCAGCACTTCCACTTGGACAGCCCCCAGCCACTGCTCTCTATGTGGCCGAGACTGGACCAGCCTCGCCACACCACCCAATCCTTTCTGTGCTCTTCTCGGGCTGCCTACCTTAGGAAATAGTACTGCCATCTACCCGCTAACATGCAGTCACCAAGCCCCAGGTCTTCTCTCTAAATCCATCTCTAGTCTGTTCATTTCTCTCCATTTCCAGTGCCACCACTGTAATCCACCTGGGCTACTGGGACAGTATCCAAATGACCCTAGGCCTCTCTTGCCTCTCTCCACTTTCATGTCATTTAAGCATCCAAATGCTTTTCAAATGCTGAACTGAGTGTGGGTCACAAGGCACTCCCTGTCTGGCCCTCACCAATCCCTCGAGGCACAAGTGCAGGGCCTTCTATGAGGCCCTACACTGTGCTCTGGCCTCCCTGGCCTCTCAGCTCTTTGAATGTGTCAGGCTCTTTGCATCTTTAGGGCCTTCTCACCTCCACACACCCCTTCCCAGGCTTTTCCAGATCCTGGGCTACATGTTACTTCCTCTGGAAAGCCTGCCCTTGCCCAGTCCTCTCAGACTGTTAGCCCCTCCCCTTCATAGCTATTATCAAAATAGTAATTAAGTAATTGTGGGATTGGTTGATTAATGTCTGTCTGGCTATCTAGACCATACGCCCCATGAAGGTAGCGACCATGTCTGTTCTCTTCACTTTGTACTGGTCCTAGCCCAATGCCTGCTTCATAGTGGGCACTAGATACATATTTCTAAATGACTCAGTATAATTTAGCTGAGCCTCAACTTTCTTCTCTGTAAAATGGAATAGAAACCAAGGAGGATGTTAACAGCAATAATGTTGTGGGTGGACTTGTGTAGAATCAAAGTGCTATTATATAGGATCTTAGTTTTGTGCAGAAAAGTTCTTTTTAAGCCAACATGAGATTATATGAGGAGCTGTGTTTACTCTGTTGAGTACCTCACCCAAAGAAGTTCATTTGAGCAACTGTGCTATGGGAGGTGGGAGTCAGTCCAGAGCCTGCCAGCGCGCACTGGGAAAGCAAGCCTTGTCCGAGGTGGGCATTACCTCTCCTCCCTCCCTCGGGGAGCAGGGGGAGTTACCCCTTCCAAAAAGCCTAATCAAGCGTGCCTTTGTTAGCAGTTGACAAAGCTTCCACTGTGGAATTGCGTGCCCTGAATTTGTAATGGAATTTGAGGGCAGGAGAGGACACTGAACCTCCTTTTGGGTGGAAACCATTCTACTGTCGAGCAAACTTGAAGCCTTTGTAAGTTGAGACCTCTGAGAAAATACAGAGGAAGTGGGAGAGGCCAGTGTTCTTTGCCCTTCCTTTCCTCACCGTCTGGATCACCTGTTCCAGCTCTCCAGGCAATGTCTTCTTATGTAATTGTTGTTTCTCCCAGGGCGATCCAGATGAAAGGCAGGACCTGACGAATCCACCTCTAGCCTGGTGAAACATGGAGAGGAAAAACCCACCCAGAGAGAGCCCCAGAAGACTCTCGACCAAACTGGGCAAAGGCACAGAGATGAAGAAAGTGGCTCGTCAACTTGGTGTGGCAGCTGCTGAGTCAGATAAGGACTCTGGATTTTCAGGTTAAAAATACCTTATTCCTTCCACATTGCGATGAATGATTTGCCCGAAAACCACCCTCCCTAGAACTCATTCGTGTGATAAAAGTTGGAAGCTTCCATGTACTAGATAAACAACCCTCTGGTCTCTTAAAATGGCATAATTCTGGTGGCGATGGGGCCACCTACCCATCAGAGTCACTGGGGTCCGTTCTGAAGGGACGATCTAACATCTTTTTCCAACGCAGACTCTCAACTTTAAACCTTATGTTTCCAACTGTTGCAAGGTTCCTGGGGAGAAATGTTTAAATACTCATCATTCTGTTGTCTTAGCTCCTTTTTCATAGGAATAGCTACGTCGCTGGAGAAAACATACTGCTGCATGCTTTCACCATGTAGCAAATGAAACAGAAGCAGCATATGATGTAAGACAGCTGTTTTTGCTGAGAAAGTAATTTGCTGTGTTTAAAAACATTTCCCCTGCAACAACCCATCCCTGCCAGTATCTGTGCCTTTGTCTTTGGACTTCAAGACCCCCCACTCCAGTTCCATACTTGAGAATCTGTTAGAGACAAGAAAGTAGACAGTTTTCCTCATTAGTTCGTTTCAAACCTTATCCGAAAGGGCTAGCTGCCTATGCAGTGAATCATTTAATTTTGTGCCCAGCACTTCTATTTCCACATTTGAGGGCAGTGACTTGAATATGGCTCTAGTGTCAACATTTGTGGCCCAGAGGATAGAGAGAGATGAGGCCAGGGGATTCTGGCTGGTTCAGCACCCTGAGGGCAGAGTCCTCCCCGAGAGGAAGATTTATGTTATCCAGCCTCGCAGAGACTTATCAATCCATCTTGTTGATTTGTTAATTTATAGTGAGAAATGCAGCTGTTAGGAAAATTAGAACTCTCCCATCCCCAGATTGGTGTGTTTTCTTCCTGTGGGCATGCCACTTGAGAAGCCAAATTATAAATAGACTATTGCTCAGAGAGGAACAGAGCACCAACCGATCGAAGGACTAGAATAGGGACAGTCCAGTGAAGGGAGGGCCAGCTTATAGCCCTTTGGGTTTCTCTTCTCTCTCAGCATTGTTTCTGAGGCTTGACTCATCATAAGGCTCATCTGAGGTTCTTGTTAAAAATACCAATCCCCACCACCCAGGTATATGCTGACTCCCCTGGGGTAATCAATTGCTGAAGGAGTCTCATCAGTGTTATTTATTTAATTAGCAGAATGCCTTCTCAAACTCACAAGGGAGTTGGAGTACCTACTGAGTAATGATAATGATATTAACATTTATATAGAATTTACCATATAAGTTTTGTATAACCAGTGGCTGGCTGGGAAGCCAGCCCCTGATGAATAACATTTGCCAATTTCCATGATGTATATACTCTCACCAGGACCAATTAATTTCGAGCTACTAATAAGATGTTACCGAATATGAGGATGGGAAGATTTGGGGAACTAGAAAAGTCTTTATGAGCCGGCAGAACCACTGCAGCACATGGCTGCATAGATTTATTGTTCACGTACAATAAATCATAATGACCATCCTGTGAGAAAGTTACTATTATGTTCCCACACTTTACAGATGAGGAAACTGAGGCATAGAAAGATTCCATAATTTCCAGGATCATGAGACTGGTCAGTAGGAGAGCTGGGATTTGAATCCAGGGACAAGTGCTTCCAGAGGCCCTATTTTCGACACCATTGCCCAGTATTCTGGAAAGCTCTGATGAAATTCTTTAGGTCAGTGTCAGCCAAATCCACCTCATTTATCATGTATTCACTCAGGAATTGATTAGGAGCAATCAGTGACGGGGAATACACTTTGGCAGAGATGCTCACAGTTGCTACACTGAAGTGCAAATATTCTGTGTGGGGCTAAAATAAACCTACGTTTGGTGTGACTAACACACTGCTGTGTGATGAAGTTGTGTTTCCAGAGGACAGTCAGAAGATTCCCGGGTGCCAGCATTCCATATATGCTGAGCTTTGGCCAAAACTGCTGACCGGGGGCTGAGCGGGGCTCACAGAAGTTTGGGTGGGCTCATAGATATGCATGTACTTCCTGTTATCTGAATGGTAAGAATGTTGCCGTGGATTAAGCTAAGGTTACTCTAGCCAGACTTCTGTTGGTTAGGATAGTGTATGAGCTCGCTGGGACTGTCCCCACATAGTGCAGTCAGGGGACTGTCCCCACAGAGTGCAGTCAGTCCGGTGGCTCAGACAACAGATTTATTGTCTCACAGTTCTGGAGGATAGAAGTCCAAGATCATGGTGTGGACAGGGTTCGTTCTCTCAGGGCTATGAGAGAAAATTAGGGGGGAAATATTCTGATCCCCAGACCCCTCTCCTGGAGATTGTGATAGCAAAGATCTGGGGGAGGGCCTTCATGAGGTGGATTTTCTTTTCTTTTTTTTTTTTTTTTACAAGTGTTTCTGGTGATTTCTGTGATCAGACTAGTTTGGGAAACATCGTAGACCTACTATCTCGTATTTTTCTTTTATTATCATGTTTGGTTTTCGTCTCTTTTCCTTATTGTGGAGGCAATATGTGCTTGTTGTGGAAGGTTAGAAATTTAGGAACATGCAAAGAAGAAACTAAACATTATCCATAATCCTACTACCCATTATTCCCAATATGTTGACATTTCAGAACACCATTTGACAACCTCAATCTTGTCAGGCTGGCTGTTTTGTAGTATGTCCTAGAGTCTGGAGAGTTTTTCTGACAGTTTCCTTATTCTCTTTGTAGAAGTGCTTTAAGGAGTATTGTGTTGTTCAGACACAAGATGGTATTAAAAATAATCTAACTCATTATGCCCCCGAAAATGGCCCCAGCGGATGCTGCCAGCCACTTCTGGGCCAGGTGCCAGTGAGTTAGTTCAACGAGTTATCATTCCAGTTTGGGAATATAATGTGATCTGTAAGACCAAGGTAGTTTTTCCCTTATTAATTATTTTCCCATATTTAATTATTCCCATTTTAATTATTTCCCTAACTTCATATTTTGAAAAACTTCAGATCTACACAAAAGTGAATGAATATCACAGAGGTCTTTCATTCAGATCCACTGAATGGTATCATTTTGCCCTATTGCTTTATCTCTCTATACACAAGCACACTTCTTTATATACACACACACACAAATAAATAAATAAATAAATATATATAATACAAACATGTATGTGGAAAAAATGTATGTATATACTGAATGATTTGAAAGTAAGTTGCAAACACTTGACCCTTTATCCATAACTATTTAAGTACAAATCTTCAAAAAGAATAACCTGTATAATTACAATATCATTGTCATAATCGGCAGTTTTCACATTGATGCAGTTATTAACTGGCTATAGTCCATATTCGGATTTTTCCCATTGTCTCAGTAACGTCCTTTATAGCTGTTTGTCTTTTTGTCTATTTGTTGGTTGGATCCAGGATGCAGTTGAGGATTGGGCACTTCCTGTAGTTGTCCTTTTAGTCTTTTTAGGCTAGAACAGCTTTCTCATCTTTTCTTGCCTTTTTTCCCCTTCCCTTCTTTCCTTAGTTTTCTTTTTAATGACAGTGACTTTTTTTTTTAAGTTTATTTATTTGAGAGAGAGAGAGCATGAGCAGGGGAGGGACGAAGAGAGAGAATCCCAAGCAGAGCCCCACGTGCAGAGTCTGATATGGGGCTCAAACCCACAAACTGTGAGATCATACCCTGAGCCGAAGTCGGATTCAACCAACTGAGTCACCCAGGCGCCACAATGACGGCGACATTTTTTAATGAGTTAGGTCTGTTGTTTTGTAGAATGTCTCACTCTCTGGATTTTTCTGGCATTTTCCCCATTAATAGAATCAGGATAAACATTTCCTCTTTCCCAGAACACTACATGTTTGCTGTTACATCCTTCCCATTGCAACGCATAGCAAGACCCTTAAGTGTGTCTCATTCTTCCTGAGGTCCTGGCTGATCACCTGGGTAAGGGAGCGTGTAAGCCTACCCCAGAGTTCTTCATTGTAAAAGTGCCCGTTTCTCTTTGTAATTAGAACGTCATTTATGGGATGATACTCTGAGACTGTGTGACTCTCCTGTTTCCCAAAAACTCTTGACCAGTGGCTTTGGCAACCAGCACTGATTATCCTTAGCTGAATCAACGACTATATTCGTGGCTTAAAAAATGGTGATCTGGTTTTATCATTCCTTGTACATTTTATTAGCTGACACTCTTCTGTAAAGAAGAGTTTGTCCTCCTCTTTTGAAAGTATCACTTTCAAAAAGTGCATACATGGAATTCTTTTGTAATTCAGTTTGTCAATCCTCTATCATTATTCTTGTTGATACTCATATTGTCCCACATTTGGCTGGTGGAAGTTCCTTGATAGTTCCTGTGTCGTTTTGACTTGACCCCATTTGTGTCTGAACACTTCCTTGCTTTTGGGGACAATAAGATGTCCAGGCTCACCTTGTACTTTTTATTGCGAAAGACTTGAACTCACCTGTTTCCCCAAGGATCCTGTTTTTCTTTTTTATGTAGAATGGCATTTAGAAACCAAGGCCCGTCTACTACGTATGCATTTAGCTTCTGAGGTCCTTTGTTTCTGGCCATGGTTCTTAACTAGAGGCGCACATTTGGAATGCTTGTGTTTTGTGAAAATCCACTTGCCAGGGCACCAGAGAAATCAGTTCAGCAGATTGAGGGGAGGACCCCGACATCTGTAAATTCTAAAAAGCATCACGAGAGATTCTGATTAAATTCGAGTGTTGACAGTTACACTCATTTAAATTATAGTCACATTTCGGTCCTGCCTCATCCAAATTGCTCTGAGAGTCTTAAAGAGCATTTAGTGTATTCCCAGATTCCTCACTAGCTGGGTTACAGCATCTCTTGGTTTACTCTAGCAGGTAGCTAATTAAGTCTTTTTTGTATGGATTTCCCATAGGGCAGCCTTATCTTCTTCACCGCAGAGAGTGTCTTTCCTCTTTCTGTCCCCCATTGTGCAGAGCTCCCAGGAAGCGCACCCAGCATGCATTTAGGACACTGACAAGGGAGGTGCTTACCTGGGTGGAGGTGGGTAACAAAGGCACATTTTAAATTTCAGCTCTGATGAGCTTACCCAGAATTGTACAATTAGGAAACTTAGGAAGGAGCTGTTTACATTTCAGCATGGATGTAAGTTTTGAGGTTTACAGGTTCATTTTGTTTTTATTATTAGAACTATATCTTGTGGTGCCCAGAGCCTCTCAAGGCCTTAATCCTCCCCCAGGTCACACACGTACTCCCTTCCCCTTTCAGCAACAGATTCTTGAAGGTAACACGCTAACTCTGAAGACTTCAACCCACGTCCCTTGTGGTGGTGATGGTTACTTTCACGGAAACCCTAACTGATGCAAGGTTTGGTCTTAAGAGTTAGAAAGGAAGCCTGCTGTCCTAGGGCAGCAATGCCTAATCTTGTGGGGTAGGAGGGCTAATTGTGGCTCCCATTGAGAATACAGTGAAAGCTGAAGGCCCATTCAGAAAAAGCCAAAAAACTATCACAAATTTTCATTTCCATTTCAAGAAGTCTGTTGAGTCCTTAGAAGGTCTGCTTAGGAGCCCCGAGCCCAGATCCTAAGTGAACTGACCATTCTTCTGCCCAGCAGATGGGAGCTCAGAATGTCTGAGCTCGGCAGAGCAGATGGAGTCCGAGGACATGCTGAGCGCCTTAGGCTGGAGCCGGGAAGACAGGCCAAGGCAGAACTCCAAGACCACAGGCAGTGCCTTCCCGGCGCTGTCCCCGATGGTTGTCATGAAGAACGTGCTGGTCAAACAGGTGAGGGGGACTACTATCTCCTGCCGCCTCTGCATGGGAGCGTTCCTGAGCTTCCTGCGTGCCGTGCTCCTCCCAGGAGGGACAGAGAAGCAGACCGCTAGTGCCACACTGATGTGTACTTCAGCCATGGGGACACGGTGTTTCCTTTCAACTACTGACAGTGTTTTCAAAAGGACCACAGCAGTTGTGACATGTGTTCTCATTTTCCAGACGGCGGGACTACTTTACTTCCATATTCCTAGTTTGTCCAAAGGGACCCCAGCTTTCTTTAGTGACAGATAAAGGAACGAAGCAGAAATGCTGTCATGAAGCAGAAATGCTGTCACTTTTCTGGTGCATTCTGACGTATGACAGAAGAGGGGGTAGCAATAAAAGAATCTCTTTCAGTTTAAATTGCCCGTGTGTTGAGGAATGTAAGGTGTATTTATTTATTTGAGAAGTAGAGGCGATTTCTGTGTTTTCCCAAAGCCAAGCCATTAGTGAGAAGGCAGCTGCTTGGTTTGGGTATGGCCACGTAGGCAGCCTCCACACTGCATTCCTGGTGACTTGAAAACTACCCTGTTTGGGGCTTTGTGACATAACTCTGTATGTTGTATGATTATTGTCTGGATGTGAAAGAAGAGAAGATTTAGATGGCAATGTAAGCTAAGCCCCAGTGTTTGAAATAGAGAATTCAACCATAGGACCTTGGTTAAAGGACATTTAACCTTAACCCTCCTTTGCTCCAGAGCATACCAGTTCTCACATGGGTCCATTCATCGATGAAGCTGTTTGAGGCTAGTGAAGTTTGAGATCTGGCTTTGTGTTGTGGGCCTTCCCACCTTAGGCAGTAGAACATGTCCAGAGCCTCACAGGAAACCCTAAGATCATAACTGCTCACCTAGTTATTACAGTGGAACACAAACCGATTTTCAACAAGGCAACCCAGAATTCAAAGATTTTTACTTGGCCACTCATATCTCAGCTGGAAGCACAGTTCCCCTTACTGAAACGAAGAGAGAAAATAAAAACATGAAATGGAGCCCAAATGAGATTGTCCAGGCCGCACCAGTGCCGCCTGCTTCTCAGGGCTTCCTTTCTCCCGGGCTCTTTTGCTCCCTGCCTTCCTCCCCCTCATTCCCTTACTGCTCTCTCTGGTGTGTCTGTTTGTGCGCCTTCTTTGTTGTAGGCGAGGCTGGCAGCTCCCAGAGCTGAGAACAGCCCACGGGCAAGGAGTGAGTAGGCTTTTTGGCAGAGCCCGCATTCTTCAGGACAAAGACCTCCAGGAAGGCTGCTGGGCTTGATCAGGAGATTGGAGGCCGGGGCAGGCTGACCTAGCAAAGCAGTCTAGTTTTATTTTGTTGTTTTTTTCGTCCGTGTTAGAATCTGGCACATTCCAAAATTAAAATAATTATATGCTTAAAAAAATCTCTACAGATCGTGTAACATCTTGATTATTGCTGCTTGCTCTTAGGTAGTTTTCTTTTGAGGGTCTGATTCCATTTCTGCCGCTGGCCCATGTGATCTTGCACATAATTACCCCACCACTGCAGACTTCAGTTTGCTCATCTTTAACATGAAGGCCTTATGTGAAATGTCCTGAGATCCTGTCCAAGCTGAAAATCTTGTCCTGTGTTTCCTCAGATGATTTCACCGCAAATAATACACTGTAAAAACTAATAATTAGGACAGATAAGCTAAGTGTCTATTGGGGCAGTGGGGATAAACCGCATTAGGAAGAAGAGTTCCCTAAAATCATCTTGGGAAAGCAGTGGGTTAGATATTGTCTGGATCCATTCGCCTCGTAGGTCTGTCCATATAGCCTGAGTGACTAGGGGGATGGCTTGAAGTTTTGCTTCTGACTGGGCTAGGTGGACCTCTGCTTCAGAAGACCCTTAATTTTGGATCTCTGATAGGGAAGTATAGTTGCTGGGCCAAGCATTGCTTATGCATCCTCCAGGATATGTTTGAACACCAAGCGGGCTCCAGAATGGGCTCTCCGGGTCATCTGTAGTTGAATTTGGCCTAAAGTTCCTAGCTAGGCATCTGAGAAGCCGAAATGTGTGCATTTTGGGACCAAGTTGGAGTAGATTGGCTTTTAAATGTTAGAGACCAGTAGCCATGCCCTTCTTTAATAGGCTTCCGTCCGGATCAATACTTTAAGAATAAAAATGTATAACCGAGGAGTAACATAACACAAGCAGAGTAGCGAATGGTTAGGCTGAGTTTTAGAGTCAGACCCAGGATGGAGTCCTAGCTCCCTCACTTAAAGTCACTTGGAGGCTTAAAGCATGTTATTTCCACTTTCTGAGCCTCCATTTCTTATTTATGAAGGGAGATAGTAACGACCACAGGGGTTGTTAGGGAGATGAGATGAAAGAACCCACAGAAACCATCACCCACAGGGCCGACCTGGGGTAAGCACCAAATAAGCCCTGCTCCCTTGGATGGCTTGCTGGTTGCTGGGGCATCACTGACTTAAAAACGGGGGCCCTGACGGTATATAACTTTCTAATCAAAAGTTGTTTTCAGGTAAAAGAGGTTCCAGGTATAACTAAATGAAGACCCACTTTGGTGTGAGGACACATTCATAGTGCTGAGATTAGTACACTTCACCTTGGGCCAGGAAACTGTACTATCCGTGTTTTTCTTGTGTCAGTTCTGACCTTAACCAAGTCATTACTTCACCTACCTGCAGTTTTCTTTTTCTCAGTGATAGCACTTGAATAAAGATCTATATTTCCTTCAGTTTTCCTTTAAGAAAGCTTACAAAACAGCTGCCCAATGGTACCAGACTCAGATGTATTTTCAAGCCACTGTTCCAGTCGTGTCCCCTAGAAGGGCAGCCCCCTAGGTGAGGAGGGCCCTGTGGTTGAACTCCTTACAAGCACCTGGCAGAAGGCCGCAGCGCCCCTCCTATCGATGGGTCACCGTAGCCTGCAGCTCTTTTCCTTTGTTTTCAGGGCAGCAGCTCGTCGCAGCTCCAGTCGTGGACCGTGCAGCCCTCCTTCGAGGTGATCTCCGCTCAGCCGCAGCTGCTGTTCCTTCATCCGCCCGCACCCGCACCCGCCAGCCCGTGTCCCACCGGCGAGAAGAAGTCGGACTCCAGGAACTACTTGCCCATTCTAAATTCTTACACCAAAATAGCCCCCCACCCGGGCAAAAGGGGCCTTTCCCTCAGCCCAGAAGAAAGAAGGGAAGGCGGGGTACAGAAGAAAGTCTGCACAGAAAGACTTGGGCCGAGCTTGGCTTCCAGTGAGCCCGGCAAGCCCGGGGCCATGCCGCCCAGGCCCCCCGCGCCGGCGCCCCCGGGCGCCAAGCTCGCAGAGGACTCCGCCCCGCAGGGGGTGCCCTCCCTGGTGGCCGGCGGGAGCCCGCAGACTCTGCAGCCCGTGTCCAGCAGCCATGTGGCCAAAGCCCCCAGCCTGACCTTCGCCTCCCCCGCCAGCCCCGTCTGCGCGGCGGACAGCACCCTGCACGGCCTGGAGAGCAGCGCCCCACTGTCACCGCTGTCGGCCAGCTGCAGCTCGCCCCTGTGGGCCGCCGAGCACCTGTGCCGCAGCCCCGATCTCTTCGCGGAGCAGCGGCGGAGCAAGCACAGGCGCTTCCAGAACACGCTGGTGGTCCTACACAAGTCCGGCCTGCTGGAGATCACTCTGAAAACCAAGGAGTTGATCCGCCAGAACCAGGCGACTCAGGCGGAGCTAGACCAGCTGAAGGAGCAGACCCAGCTGTTCATCGAGGCTGCCAAGAGCAGGGCTCCTCAGGCCTGGGCCAAGCTGCAGGCCTCCTTGACCTCGGGGGCCAGTCGGGCCGGCAGCGACCTGGAGGCGTTCTCCGACCACCCAGACCTGTAACACAAAAGGCACGTTTCCCTGTTACTTGAGCAGTTCTTTTGAATTCTCTTGCGGTTTCTGCACCTGTTTCCCAGAGCTTCTGTCAGAGCTTTTCCTTCTAAACTTAAACCGTTTGGCAGTTCACTTATGAAGCCACATGCCAGTACCTGACTGTTGTCTTAACCTGTGGTATGTGCACAGTTTACACATGTCTCTGTTTCTCTGAGGACCTTGGGTGCGGAATGTCCTCGGGTGCCCCTTTCCTTAGCTTGCAGGTTCACAGCTGGTTCACGGGGCAGAGCGGGCGAGCTGGTTGTGTGGGGCTCTCCTGGCTGTCACCACCTCCCACCATCCCACTCACTCACTGTGATCAAGGGCACAGTGACAGGGATGAGCCCACAGAGTGACATCTGTCAAGCAAGGGAGTAGGTGACATAAGGATCCCTTTGTGGATCTTCTCGTGGCTGGCGTGTTCACAGAGAAAAAAACAGGGTGTGCCTGTGTTCTGCAGGGCATCGTGCCATTTGGGTGACAACTCATGCCACGGGCACAGGTCGGGCCACGGGTGCAGGCGCTTAATCCTGTGAAGCTATGTCTTCCTCCACTGGAATGTCAGGGGGAGAGGAGGGTAGCACCATTGAACTCTTACACTTTAGTCGCAAGCCAGATTTCTCTTCACTTAAACTGGTAGGCAAAATACTTCAGATTTTTAAAGTATGAAATGGATTCGGTACCATCTGGAATTACAATTGCTGAATTGGTTATTTTATTTATTTATTTTTTTGACTTACACTCTGAAGAAAGTAGACATGGCCAGCATCTCTTGCTTGGGAGCTGGAAGATTCTGGAAATTTATGCTTCCCGCCCCCCTCCCCCTCTTTTGAAACAGTGGACCTGTTGTATGGTGAACATCTCCCAGATAGCTTCGAGACTCCTGAGAACGGATGTGAATTAACCCCTCTGCTGCCACTTTTTTTTCCTTTTGTTTTTGTCAAACAGGAAAGAAATGATTACTAAGCTTAGTAAACTTTGAATTAGAACCACCCTGAGGTTATGATGTAGAAGTCCCCAAAACATTGGAAACCATTCTTCATACTGATTTTCTTTCCATATCCAAAGTTTTTGTTTGTCTTATGTCACAGTGACATGGGCGTGGCACAGAGCCTTCCCAAGTCACCTTCGTGTGTTGGATGTCAGTGTCGGCAGCAAAGCCAGAGGTCTGGTGTTGGTTATCTGAGGTTCACCTGGAAATGGAGGGTGTGATATGAATTTCCAGATGGTCCCGATTCTTTCGGCTTTGTGCTAAAGGTACCCGGGATTTCTAAGTAGTACCATTTCAGACTTTCTACCCACTCATCTAAAAATGTCATCCTCTTGAAAGTCTATGTACAAATTACCTTAAGTTCTGTATGGCCAGCTTCGTCTCTTCTACATTGAAAATATTCTTGAGTGCTCGCTTCGGCAGCACATATACTAAAAATGTTCTTGAAGTTTTACCAAGGCCAGAAGCAAACACTCACATTTACCTGGTGGCTGTTAACTGTAACATAGTTTTTAAATCACAAGGCCTCCAACTGCCCATACTTTGTTGTCAAACATGTACGGCTGAGATATGACTGACCCATTTAGAAATGGCTTAGTAAAATCTCGGCAGTCTCCTGATCAGTGCAGAATTGCTACCTGCCATTTACTTTCTGAAAAAGAGTTCCAAAATCCCAGCAAATGTGTCTTGAAGCAGACCCTCAACTCCTTTGAATATTCTCCTCTTGGCCCGCTCCCTTTGCCTCCCCTGGATCCGTGCGCCACTACGACAGCCCTGCTCTGTGCACCGTGCTAGGGAGCTTCCTTTTTGGCAGAATGTACTTGGCAGCAAAGCTAGAGAGACAGGTGGATTCAGAACAGCCTGGGCACCAGGCATGAGTCTTACTGAGGGTCAGAAATCTGAACATACTTGCTGAGAACCAAATTTATTCCATCAGAAAAACCCTCTGTGGAGCTGTAAGCTCTTGGACCCTTCTTCCTGGATTAGGGTTTGCATCTCCCTTCCTGTTATGGTAAAAGATGATGAGAGCCGTCAGCGATCTGCACTGCTGAGTGGCAGGGCGACGCAGCACCTCCCTGGCTCTTCTCTGAGCGTGTGACTGCGTGTTGGAAGTCTCTCTAGGCTGTTAGCATGGGTGTTCCTTCCCTAGTGGAGCTGTAAGCAGATGAAGCCAAGCAGGGAAGCTAGTTCTTAGAAGAAGAGGTCCACTGAGGCTCCCAGACGTTCGGGGCCTGAAGCCAGATCGGCACATGGAGGACCCTCAGAGTAGACCAGAAAGATCTCCGTTGGTTGCACAAGGCTGTAAGTAGTAATGCTCTCCATGAGCATGCATTGATCTGGTATGAAGTACTGTGGCAGAGCTACTGTTTTCTGAAAGCGAGAAGCAATTCTTAGTTCAGACCAAACCTAAAGAGAACTTTTGGCAGATTTTGTTGGCAGTGTTGACACACATCTAGAAAAAGCTGCTGATTGAATTGGTTACGGGAATGGGGTTTAATAACATTTGTAACTTATTACACTTGTTGCTTTTTATTGATTATAGTATTGTCTGACTTTACTATGATTCCTTCAACAGAAGAGTAACCCCTGTGCATATATTGAGGTGTTTTTCCTGCTATGAATTCTTTAGGGTAGAGGTTTGTTTACCAAATGTGAATTCTTTTGAGGAAGTATGAAGTTTTGTAGAAATTGACTGTGAAATGTCAGAGAAAAATAAAAGTCACTTACTTGAAAACTATTCGGCCTTTTTGCTTTATAACTACTTAAAAATACGAGGTAAAATCTAGAGTACGTACACTTGACCCTTGAATAACATGGGTTTGAACAGATCTGCTTACACGTGGGTGTCTTTTGATAAGTACAGTGCCACGCTGCAAATGTTGCTTCCTGGTGGTTTTAGTAACACTTCTTCCCTCTGGCTTACTTAATTGTAAGAATACAGTATATAATCCCTATAACACATAAAATAGGGGCTAGTCTACTGTTTATGTTACCGGTAAGGCTTCTGGTCAACGTAGGCTTTTAGTATCTAAGTTCTGGGGAATGTGTGGATTTTCGACTGCGCAGGGGTTGGCACCCCTCAGCCCCATGTTGTTCAAGCTCAGCTATGTTTGAATTAAGTTTCAAACTTACGTGCTCATGTCGTTCGGGAATATTGGGATTAGATACTGAACCAGTGTGGACTTAAAAGGAAATGAAGGCAATCTTAACGCATGTGAACAGTCCCATAATACCTAGCGTCTTAGAAGTTTATATTGGATAGGTGGGGAGGAGTAAGAGAACACAGTCCACTGGTTACTTTCTTCTTTCTTTCTTTCTTTCTTTCTTTTCTTCTTTCTTCTTTGTAATGTTCATTCATTTTTAAGAGAGAGACAGAGTGTGAGTGGGGGAGGGGCAGCAAGAGAGAGGGAGACACAGATGACACGGGGCTGGAACCCACGAACCTTGAGGTCATGACCTGAGCTAAAGTCGGTAGTTTAACCAATGGAGCCACCTAGGTGCCCCCTCTTTCTTCTGATCTGACACTTTCGCAAATGTTAGAGCTATAGTTGCCTTCTGGGATAAACAAAGCCACATTAAATGAAGTTCTTCCTACAACAAAGGTCCTTAGCAAGTACAACTCCAGGCCTCCCTCCGTGCTTCTTAGAGTTGATTCCTAATGCTCTGCTCCTCCCTGTTCCCCAAGCCCAGTCAAACAGACCCTCCCCAGACTTTTAAGATGCTGCAAAAATAAAAGCTTATTCTCACGTAAAGGCCTAGAGGGTTGCTGCCAGAGTCTCCGTCTTAGAGCATTACTTCTGTCCTACACAATTTTCTAAGTAACTTTAAAACATATAGCAATATGACCCTTTAAATGAAATGTCAGGATGGCTAGAGAAGGCCCCTCCTGAAAATGACAGCCATCCGTGCATCCGAGTGGCACTGAGAGAGGCAGACCACACAGTGGATCTCAAGAGGCTGAGTGAGGTTATCTGAGTTTGTGGCCCCAGCCCCTTGGCCTGGTTCCTGTACAGAGAAATACTTGGACAATACCTAGGACCCCTGTTTGATCCGCCTTGTGGATGGCGTCACCACAGACTGTAGCCTGGTGCGATTGGGGTCTGAAGACTTGCATGCACCTGTCCTCTCTGTTACTCATCAACTGGGTGGCTTTGGGTAAGTCACTGAGCCTCTCTAGGTGTCACTCCTCCTGGCTGTCGCATTTTTAACTTCTGTGTGGCTCTAAGGGAAGCACTTTTCTGGTCTGCATTGGTTTCGCCTTTCTTAGGATTGCCTGGTTGCAGCTAACATGGATTCGCTACTTCCCATATAAAAGCCTGTTCTCGGAGATTATGAGCCCCATAGGAGAGTCGTTTGGGGTAAAATCAAATGACGGCCTTCCTAGTCAGTCATCTGAAATGAAGGATAACTTCTATATTTTGGAGGGTGTGTCAATTAGTTTTTATTTCAGTCCAGATTTCTCTCATCCCAACCAGGGAGGATGTTTCTGTGGGTGTTACAAGGAGTGTCTGAGGTTGACTTAACATTGTTTTTAAGGTAATAATCATAGACCATGTAAATGAGGTCGTACTTGATGAGGACTTTATTGTGGTCCCAGCCTTCCGGGTATCACTTGCACCCGCGCCAGATGAGGGTGGAGAGGGTCCTCCTGATGGCGCAGCGCGATCAGAAGGGCGGAAGGAAGAGGCAGCAGGAACCAGCCTTTATCTCTGCTACCTCAGTTTCCTTTATCACAGGAGGGCGTGTCCTTGTTGTCCGCTTGGCCTCCCGAGCTTACGGTGAGGTGCAAAACAGTGATGTCTCCAAAGTGCTTTGAGACCGCTCCGCAGGACGAGGCAGCTTCCCTGCACTCGAGCCCATCAGCAAAGCCCATCAGCGGAATTCAAGCAAGGGCATTCCGCCCTCTATGAGTTGTCATTTGCTTGGAATAATTAAGACTATCTTCTACCAAAATCTCATTTCCAACTAATGGGAAGACAGCAAATCTCAACCTAGCCTTTGACTGGCTTCCCGGAAGGAGATGTTCTGTGGGTCCCTGGCGTCCTGTGACCACGCTGGCCCTTTCCACTCAGAATTCCTGCTTCGTCTTAGAGCACGTGGCTTCCCTCCCACCCCTCAGAAGGATAGTTATGCAAACCATTAGAGAATTGCTTGGAAGAACAGTCTGTATGGTTCCTGCCTCAAATTACGGCAGCTGGAGGAGATGAGCAAGAAAGAGAAAAGCCTGTGGAGCAGGAAGTTAACGCAGCGAGTGGGCGGGAGCCGTTAGGAAAGGAAGGGACTGAAAATTGGAAGCAGGATCCCGAGGCCAGCCCGCGTGAGGGCCCAGTCAGCTTGAAAGATTAGCGTCTGGAGTTGAGCCTTCGAGTGGCTTGAGAGCAGGAGTGAAAATAGCTGCCTTTAGTTTCCCTAAAGACTCCCTTTATCTCAGGAACTGCCGTGGCTTGGAGGAGGGCTGGCTACTTCCATTGGAAGTCTAACAGATGACTGTTTTCAGCAACCCCCCTCCCCAAAAAGCCTTGACCGCTGGGGGACAGATGGGAGCACTTGGCCTGGAGCCTGCCCTCCATTTGGGGCTGAGAGCGCCGGCAGCTCCTGGATGGAGGCTGAGAAACTAAGAGTTGCTGCTACCTGTCGGTGGCAAAACCGGAACCACCCCTAGACAGCCAGGTTGCAATCACCCATCTTTACCCATCCCATGTACAAATGCATAATCTGTCCCAAAGTCAAGGGAAGAGATGACACTTAAAGATCCCCACAAATTATAAACAACAACAACAACTACCACACCCTCAGCGGGCCTTGCATCATATTTAACAAATGCGGGAAGGCCTGGTTCCGGATGCCTAGGGGACCCGTAGCCAGTGTTTCATTCCCGCTCCCCTCTGTTCTCCAGCAAGCCTCTGGGCTCCTTATTGCTGAGCTGCTCAGGAAATGCAAATGAGTGTTCACTTAAGCAAAACACACAGAGGAAAGGCAGTGAACCACCAAAACAAACAGCCCAGGAAGCCCACAGCTGACAAGGAGGCTAAGGCAGCGTTGAGAGGCAGGCCTTCACCGACGGTTTTCACGCTCCAGCAGGTCCCAGAAGGGCCAGAATAACTTGAAGGTGAAAACTTTTTTTTTTCTTTTTTAAGCCTTTAAGTTGATTCTTGTCTAGTCAAGATATATTTGGAAGTTTATGCTTCACAGTCTATGCTGCTTCCATTCTTGAAGCATTTCCCGAGCATCAGTTAGGCTGTGAAGTCTTTAGCTAGTAAGTTTCTAATGTTGCCGGTGGTACCAGTCAGGCTGGGCCTCGGTGTCGGGTCTGGCTTCCCCACCCCGCCTACTGCAGGGGCTGGGGCATCATGGGAGCTCACACTCAATGGTAAATGCCGGCCATGCTGATGTTTTGGTTTTGATTTTGGTATTTGAGAGGGAAAGGGCTCTGGGATCCCAAGGCTCAGAAGTGAGCAGGCCCCCGACAGCCCAGGTCCGCCCCAGGGCGGGTCCCGCTTTGTGGACCTTTAAAAATCCTCAAACCTGGGGTCTTCACTACTTGATTCGTTACTCCTCTTCCTGCCTCCCCTCAAATTTGTATTCTTCTCAAACCCTGATCATTTCCACTTCTCCTGAAAGTTTTAACGATTCCTGAAGCTGACCTA